GATGGAGACACAACTGGCCTTTTCCAAAGTCATACTTAACTATGGAAGGGAAAGTGAAAGAAATGTCTCTTGCTAAATGTTTTCTTCTTGTTTCCTATATGGAGAGCTAATTGGACCTTTTAAATTCTGTCTATAAATCATGATCTTTCTATTGGGGCAATAAAAAAATCTATAGGTTTTTAGAGTTGTTTCTAGTTTAACTATGGTAATTGACCATGAATAAACTCAGCATGTACCAGGGACATGATTCTTTGACTTTTCAGCAGGGAAACCCTCTGCTGGCACCAAGTGCAACAGACTGAATTTGCTGAAGGACAACTGATGTCTGGGGCTGGGGCCGAAATGAGAGAATGGGCCAAAGACCTTAGAAGGATGTCACAGGAGGCAGATCGAATCTGTTTGGCTCCAGAATACGCTCAGAGGAGTATTTAGGTACAAGAAGTGATGCATATTTTTGCCCACCTTACCAACAGTAGGGGACTAAAATCCAGGCAGGGGTGGTAGCTGGAGTCATTTGGCCTGTTTGTGGAAAAGTAGCAGTGGGCTTGATGGAGATCTCAGGAGGAGTGGATAGTAGCAAGGGATGAGGAAATGAATATATTTGCTATATTTGCCCCGTTTGTTTGGTCATCTGGAAGCTGCCAGGAGATTATTGCTGTCTCAACACGAACGTCAAACACACACTAACCGTCCTTTGGTGTCAGCTGGCGATTTTGTTCTCTAAGGATTAACTGTGAGTGGTAGTTGTTGGACTAAAGTGAGATGATTAACAGATACAAGGTGCACTGAAAAGTGAAGCTGCTGTATGATTATGAGAGCGAGTATAGAGTCAGAGTCAAGAGCATGAGCTTAAGGAGCACACGGGTTCCACAGACTAGCTGTGCACCCTCCCCAACTTACTTAATGTCTCTACACTCTACTTGTCATGTCTGTAAAGTGCAGCCAGTGCTCTCATTGGATAAGGCCAAGGCTCAGTTAAGTGGCTTTGTCATGACAGCAGTGGCCTGCATAGATATGGCAGTTGTAGAAGGCAATCCCCTTCCTTCATTAGGTCACCATCTCCCTCTCTCAAAGTTCAGCAGTGTCCTCCTACCTGCTACAGCTAATGGGCTCTTTTCAGTTATCCTTTCTGACTTCTCCACAGCTGTTCACGCATCTGAGAACTCCTTAAAGTTTTCTGCTGCTGTGGTTTCTGTGACCTCTGGTTCTTCACATACCTCTCTGACCATTGCTTCTAATCGCCCTTCTTAGCTCCCCCCCCCTTTTCTTTGACTGTGGTGTCCCCCGGGGCCCTGTCCTTATTAGCCTTCCTCTGCTCAGTCTGCCTGGTCTTCCTTATTCTACCTGCTGCCACCTTTGGGCTGATCACTCTTAATTCACATCCCTGGTCCAAACTTCCTGTATGTCATCTATCAGAATAGGTTATGGGACACGTATACTTGGCTGTCAAAATCAACACCATCTGAGAGGAGAACCATTTTTCTCCCAAGAGCATGCTTCTCCTCCTGTGCTTTTGTTGGGCATCATCCACCCAGTCACTCAGCAATGAAACTTGAGAGACATCTTACGATGGACCGTTTTCTCATCTTCCAGATTATACTGGCCTCCAGGTCTGGCCACTTCTACCTTCTCATTGTGTGTGTGTGTGTATATATATATATGTTTTAAGATTTTATTTATGTATTTGACAGAGAGAGACACAGCGAGAGAGGGAACACAAGCAGGGGGAGTGGGAGAGGGAGAAGCAGGCTTCCCGCCGAGCAGGGAGCCCAACGTGGGGCTCGATCCCAGGACCCTGGGATCATGACCTGAGCCGAAGGCAGATGCTTAACCGACTGAGCCACCCAGGCGCCCCCTTCTCATTGTATATTTAAGCGATTGCCTCCTCTCCATGTTCTTGCCACTGCTCATCACATTCTGTCTAGAGATTGCTTCCAAACTCCCCTCTGTGCCTGCAGTGGGGCCTCCATTCTCCCACCACTGCCAGAACAGCTTTGTGGTGAGCAAGTCAGAATGTCACTGGCCCTTCAGTTCTGACAGCACACAACCTGTGAAGCCCTTGCTGACCTTTTCCACTCTGCCACCCTTGCCCTCCAGTCCTCTGCTCCATCCCTGCGATCTCCCTGCGGCTCCTCTACCTACTAACTTGGAGCACCATGCCCCATGCTCTTGCACTTGCCTTTCCTTCTGCCTGGAAATGAAGATGGAATAGGTTAATGGATATTAGGTTTTTCCGGGGGCATCCTGTATCGAACTTATCTTGTTGTTTTAGGCTACTTACGGGGTATTTCTTCCACAAGACAGACGTTTCCTCTGTCCAGGGACCCTGTCCCGTTCATCTTTGGTCCCCAGAACCTACGCTGGTACCTAGACATTGTGAGTGCCCACGGCACGGAAAAACGAACAGAAATAACCTTTTTTATTTATTTATTTATTTTTATTCCGAGTGGGCTCTCTGGCTCAGCAGCTGACTTTTTCCGAGACCTGCTCCCTCGGGGCCTCAGTGATCCTCCGTCTCCCCCACCGCGCAGGTGAAGGGCAGCAGGGCGGCTCGCTGCCTTCGGGCCGGGCTGGGCGGGCGCCCGCGCGCCTGCGCCCTCTGCTGCTCCGCTCCGGGCGCGTTCTCTGTGTGCGTGTGTCTAGAGAGGAGAGGCTTGGGTGACAAGCGCGGGGTGGGGGTAAGAGTTCAGCCTGACTCACAGTCTCATTCACTGATTTCTCCGCCGCTGGACAGAAGCTGCCACCCCAGGCGGCTCCCAACTACTCCCGCACCTCCACAGTTCTCACTTCCCGCCGCTCCACTCTCAAGCCAGACATTCTGACCGACAGACTCACGAGTGAGTAGCGGCGGCTTGAGCGCCCGGGCTGCACGGCGAGGTGTCCTCCCGCGGGTTGTGTGTGCGTGCGTGTGCTTGTGTGTGTGAGTGTGTGTGTGTGTGTGTGTGTGTGCGCGCGCGCGCGCAGGGGTGTCCCTGGGACTCCACGCCGGGCCGGAGAGCTCTCTGCCAGGAACCGTGTGTCTCTCCGAGCCGGCGCTGCGGTGTGGGTGCCCGCGCAGGCAGCGGTTCGGCGGCCCCCGGAGCGCGGAGGGAGTTTGCCGGGATTCCCCGGCTCGCCGCGCGGCCGCCCGTGGGGTTCCCCGGGAAGGCGCCTGGGCAGGGAGGCGGCGGGGAAGCCCGGGCTGTGAGCGGCTGGCAGGCCGGGAATCTGGGAGCAGGTCTGGCCCCGCAGAGCCGAGGGAGCCGCCGGAGCGACCGCCCTGGCCGCCCAGCCTCTCCGTCTTTCTCCCTTACCCTTCCTCCTTTCTTCCCTCAGCAGCATCACAAAAGCGCGAAATGAAACCCAGTGCAGCGAAGTCCGGCTCTCGTCTCCCACCTGGTGCACATCACCCCGGGCGGGAGGAGTGGGAGTGCGCGAGATTAGGGGCGGGGGCTTACCCCGGGGACACACCTGTTTTCGCCTCTCGCTGAATACGATCTGGATGCAGGATCGCGCGAGGGGTTCTGACACATACTCCCGGGTGTGTATGTGTGTGCGTGCGTATGTGTGCGCGCGCGCGCACGCACCCCGGGCCCACGCTCGCGGGGTGCGCTCGGTTGCACACCTCTCCCGCGGCCCGCTGGGGCCAAGACTGCTCGGTGGGCGCCTAGCGAGCTCTGTGACAGCGTGCCGGCATCTCTTTGTTTGGTTGTTGCTTCCCCACCCCTCCGCAAAGCAAACTGATTTTCGGTTTCGCGTGACACTGCGCGCTGGGACTTAGTGTGGGCCGCAGCCTCAAATGCCCCTGGTATTTGAAATTGAATAGTTCTTTCGGGCTGGGGGGTTATTTTTAGTGTTGTGAATAAAGAGGCTAGCACGTTGACCTTTTTGCGGCTGCTTTGGGCTTTGCATACGTGTCTCTAATTGATGAAGCAGACGGATTCGCATCCAGTCGCACACACGTGCTTGCGCACAAGTGTGTACACACATTTCTACACACGTAGCTTTACCCCCTTCTTTTCTTTTTTCTTTTTTAAATCGGTACTAGGAATGTACTGTGTTTGTAAAAAAAGAAAAACAACAACAAAAAAACCCCCAAACCCCAAAACAAAAACAAAAACAAAAAAACTTTCCTTTGTTCTTTTGGGCATTTTCTATTTTGAGTAATGGAGTAGGAGTACCAAAAGGTTGCAATTAGTTCACTCGAATAAAAGACACTGCCTCTGAGTCAGCGCTGCCAAGTTGATAATTATTAACATATAAAAGCACATGCTCTGTTTAAGGCAAAAGGGGCGGGGCGAGGGCAGGTCCACGGTAGACAATGAGGGAGGGTCTCTGCCGACCGCCTGCTGCTTATTGTTCGGGCACTAGAGGCTGCAGCCCGCAGCCGCCTCCTCCTCCGGGGTTTCGCTCCTCGCTCGTCCCTCGGTCCCATATGGGACCGTCCGAGTCACCCCCCGCTGGTCCCCGGGGCGCCGGGACGCCAGCCCCAGCCGCAGCCGCCCTTCGCTGACCGCCCTCTCTCTGCTTTGCAGGTTGGCATCTTTGCGCGCGAGGGTGTCGCAAGCCGAGGCGGCGAGGACAGGGCGCCTCTGGCCCAGCCAGCCGGGCGGTATGCGGCGCGGGCAACAGAGCTAAGCGCCCCCACGCTGGGCACGGGGCGTACTCGCTCCAGGCGGCGGGCCGAGCGGCGGCGGCGGAGGGGATGCGCCCAGGACGCGCAAGGCTCCTGCTGCGAGCTACCGCCCCGAGGTGGACCCCAAGCAGGGCTCATCGCAGGACCGCGCGGACCCCTGCCCCCCGGGGCACGCGGCTGCGGAGCCTCGGGGCCGCATCTGCGGTCAGGATGCCCTGGGTGCCTCTCTGCTGGTGAGGATGCCCTGCTGCGCGGCTCAGCGTCCCCAGCCCCGGTCCCTGGTGGGCACGACTGAGTGGGCCCGACTTCGGCCCCTCGTGCTGGTCGATGAAAAGCGCCGGAGTCCCTGAGTGCGATCAGCGATCGAATCTGAGTTCTAAGAGCCATGGACGAAGGCACCGGGCTGCAGCCCCAGGCGGGAGAGCAGCTGGAAGCACAAGCCACAGTAGGAGCTGTCCAAGAGAAGTGCGAACCAGAGACCTTTCGGTCCAAGAGTTTACCGGTCCTGAACAGCGCCTCCTGCCGGCCAGACCTGAGTCCTGCGCGTGCAGGAGCCAAGCCCGCCATCGGTTCTTTGGGCCGTCAGGAGTTGAAACCAGGCCCAAGCGGGTTGGCCCCCAGTCCCTCCGCTCCTTCCACTTCGGCGGAGATGGCAGGGCTCATGGAATGTAACCACAGGGTGGAAGTCAGCAAAGCCGTGTCGGTGTCCTCCACTTTGGCCACGCTCCAGGGGAGAAGGTGCCTCTATGTGGTCCTCACTGATTCCCGTTGCTTCCTGGTTTGCATGTGCTTTCTGACCTTCATCCAGGCGTTAATGGTCTCTGGGTACCTGAGCAGTGTCATCACCACCATCGAAAGGCGCTACAGTCTGAAGAGTTCCGAGTCGGGGCTGCTGGTCAGCTGCTTTGACATTGGGAGCCTGGTGGTGGTGGTGTTCGTCAGCTACTTTGGCGGCCGGGGTCGGAGGCCCCTGTGGCTAGCGGTGGGTGGACTTTTCATTGCCGTTGGGGCTGCCCTCTTTGCTTTACCTCACTTCATCTCGCCTCCCTACCAGATCCAAGAGTTGAATGCCTCGGCCTCCAACGATGGCCTGTGTCAGAATGGCAACTCCACGGCGCCTTCCGAACCTCCCACCTGCCTGAAGGATTCAGGAGGAAATAATCATTGGGTCTATGTGGCTTTATTCATTTGCGCACAGATTCTCATTGGAATGGGTTCCACACCTATTTATACCTTGGGACCAACCTACTTAGATGACAATGTCAAGAAAGAAAACGCATCCTTGTACCTAGGTAAGACTTTCCTGTCTTCTCAAATAAGCTTGAACTCACCAGTGAAAAGGAAACACTTCCACATTTCCCAGGAGATTACACACACACACACACACACACACACACAAACACACACACACACACACACTCTATAGGATCTCATATATATCTCACTATACATATATATAGCATATATGTTATATATATATTGCATGTATATTTTAAGCATTAAGCTTCAGTTTATTTTATGTTTTTATGTTTTAATCTTAGTGTGGTATGTTTTAGTTTGGAAGAGAATCCAAACAGCAGAGAGGTCTGTGGGCTAATCGTCAGACTCACACTTCACACTCTTTTCCCAAGTAATACAAACTTTTAACCATGGGGTCATGCTTCTTCCTCTTGCTGCCTGCCTTTGTAAAAACTTTATCAAGTTTATCTTCTAATGGCTGTTCTTCTAGAAAGTTCAGGAAGGAATAGAAGTACCTGGTGTGTAGAGTGAAGTCTTGGATTATTTACTGCTTTCATCTCCTGCTGCTTCTCATTCTTGTCCCCTACAGCAGGGCTAATGGAGTACCCAGACTACATACAAGATGCTTTGCTGTCTTCATACCTGTATTTCTTCATATCACCTGCATCACCATTAAACAAAACAAAATAAAACAAAAAACAAACCTTGAGTGATATCAAATGACTAGGTTATCTTTATGCAGAAGCAAGATCAGAAGTTGTAAAGTTAGGGCGCCTGGGTGGCTCAGTTGGTTAGGCGACTGCCTTCGGCTCAGGTCATGATCCTGGAGTCCCGGGATCGAGTCCCACATCGGGCTCCCTGCTCAGCAGGGAGTCTGCTTCTCCCTCTGACCCTCTTCCCTCTCGTGCTCTCTATCTCTCATTCTCTCTCTCTCAAATAAATAAATAAAATCTTAAAAAAAAAAAAGAAGTTGTAAAGTTAACCCAAAGCTATTTTTATTGCTGGTTGAAGACCCTTAAGTACATGAACTTGGTAGCAAGTGGCTCTTGGCTTTGGTGATTTGACTTGCATGAATCAGCTCCTGTGAACAGGGGGTGTTTGGGTTAAATAGAGGGTGCTAATATGAGGCCAGGCAGTCATTGTGGCAGGTAAGAAAATGTAGTTCCTAGAAATCTGTGTGGTTGTCAGCACCTCCCTGTACTAGCTGCCCCTTCAAAATTGAGCTTTTAAAGTATGGATTTGAACCGTTGAAAAGGGTGAATAGCAGTCATGCTAGATGAGATCTTTGGTTTTCTATCTTTCTATACTGGAGTCCAACTAAAAGAAGAGAAAGGATTGTACTTTATAAAAAATAGTAAATAAGCAAATACCAGTTATACTTATCATTTCATTAGCCATGCGCTGATAGCCACACCATCTTTGGTGTGGGAAAGGACACACTCACGTCTTTGGTGTGGCGAGGTTTCAAAGGACAGTGAAAATGATACCCTGCTAAGAGGGCTCTGCTCTTTCCTCAGCACATCTGCTGTCCCCAGAATCCATTGTAGAGGGTGTCTGAGCCATGTAGTCCCCAGTTACTGGCCCAAATGCATCAGGACAAGAGTTTTATAATTTATTTTTATTATTAAATGCAAGAGAAAGAAATTTTCATTCAGGGCAGAGAGCACTAGTTTGCTTGTTACTTTGCCTGCTTGTTTTCTAACATTTATTACAAGAAATTTTCAAACATACAGAAAATTTGAAACAGTCAATGAACACCAATATTTCCACCACCTAGACTCAGTAACTGTTCATTTTGTCATATTTGCTTTATCAACCTGTGTGTGTGTATGTATGTATGTAATATATTGTTTTGGGTGGGGGGGGCTAAGCCCTTCGAAAGTAATTCTAGACATCCCTAGGTTTCAGCATGTATCTTACAAAAATAAGATTTTTTACATACGTACAGGAACTTTAACATGCTAAGTTCATAATCGTTCCCTAATATCATCAAACATCCAGTCCATATTCAAATTTCTTCGATTGTCCCCTCAACGTCTTTGATAACTATATATTTTTCAAACCAGGAAGGAGGCAATCAAGATTCTCAGACATTGCATTTGGCCACTAACCTTTTTAGGGGTTTTATCATCTAGAAAAGTACCTCAACTTTTTTTTTTCTTTTTTCATCATACAGACTTTTTGAAGGGACAAGGCTAGTTGATTTGCAGAATGTTCTACATTCTGGATTTATCTGATTATTTCCTTGTGGTGTCACTCACCTTGTCCTCCATCCCCTATATTTCTTGTATCCTGCAAGTTCAGTCTAAAGGTTTGAATAGATTCAGACAAACATTTTTGGTCAGACTACTTCAAGGTAATGCTCTGTGTTTTACGTTACACACATCTGGCCATTTGTTAGTGATGTTAAGTTTAATCACTTGGTTGAGTGGGTGATTGCTAGGTCTTCCCATTGTAAACATGCATTTCTCCCTTTGAAAATAATAAGTGATCTTTAGAATGATAACTTGACTGTAAATATCCTCATTGTTATTCTTATTTTTGCTGATCTCTGCCTCCATTTACTTTGAAAACTTAGATCTCCCTTCCACCCCATTTCTTGGATACCATTCACACAAATTTGCTTCATCAAAAACACAGGTAGGGGGCGCCTGGGTGGCTCAGTTGGTTAAGCGACTGCCTTCGGCTCAGGTCATGATCCTGGAGTCCCAGGATCGAGTCCCGCATCGGGCTCCCTGCTCAGCGGGGAGTCTGCTTCTACGTCTGACCCTCTTCCCTCTCGTGCTCTCTATCTCTCATTCTCTCTCTCTCAAATAAATAATAAAATAAAATCTTTAAAAAAAAAAACACACACACAGGTAGGGCCATACACAAAGGGAGAGCATCCGCTAGTGAAAGCCCTGAGATTTAACTTTTCTAGTCGGGGTTGCCCACTGAGAAGAAACACAGCAGGTCCTGGGTACTGTGCTACTTTTGGGAAGACTGAAAATGAGACCGAGTCCCAGCGCCTGAAGAGCTTCCAGTGTAATAAAGAAACTACTGGCAATTTAAGGGAGGAGTGTGAAGTGGGAGAAGTTTATACAAATGGTATTTGCTTTTTCCTTCCTCCTCCTCCTCTTTTGAAAAAATCTTTGATGAAGGCCTTAGGACACATTCTTTGGGAAACTCAAGAGAATTCTCCTTTATATTAAATGGACCTCAGTAAAAGCTACAGTGGTTTGAGTACCAGAAATCTTGCCTGTACTACTTTATTTCATGTTCTCAATGACCTCAGGAGATGGGATTGTTTTCCCTATTTCAAGGATGAGGAAACTGAAGGTCAGTGAGTTTGAGTGACTTGCTTAAGGGCTTCAAACCCACACATCTCTGACTCCAGAGCCCTTGAGCTTCCCTCCCCACTGCATGCTTTTTTGGCAAGAGGCTCTGAGAGCCAACTGAAATCACGGGCTGTGCCGTGTTCAGCACAGTTCTGAGAATGGTACAGAAGGGTGCAGAACTGGCCGACAGTTATCAAACACAATCAAAACAAGATCCTTCTTAAACCTTTTCAAGGAGGTTTTATAGGTAGCCTCCGTATAAATTCAAATGAGAGAGACTACTAAGTTATTCTTAGAACGTGAGAGTTGTTAACCTATTATGGTGGGGCATTTTTTCTAATAAATAACTGGTTCAGGCTCTTTGTTATTTTCCACGAAAGTGTTCTATATTACCTTTTTTCACTCTCCACTCCTTTCTTCATCTGTCAGTCTTTCTAGTTTCGCGTTATCACCATAGAAGAAAAGATAAAAGCAGGTAGCAGGTTCATAATTGTAGGCACAAACAAATATCTGAATTAACATTAAAGTCATTGAAATGGAATGTAAATGTATGTCTTAATCTTTTGAATGTTTGATGTTAACATTCTGGCAGCTTTAACTGTAGAAGAGCTGTGGTCATAGATGAGATACGGCAGCTTTTATACCCACTAAATGCCCTAACTCCTTCTGCAAGGAGAGAGGTTTTGTGTTGACCTGGAGGGTAGAGAAAGCTTTGTAACTACTCAGAAGCAAGGTTAGTAACTAGACCATGATTTGTAATTGTATCTCAAGGGGAGAGAGAAAATGTGGTCCTTTGAGGGCAAGAAATTAATGAACCAACAATGAAATGAGAAAGAATGGCTAACCAGGTGGGAAAAGGGAAAACAAAGGATGCATTTCCAAAATAGAAAACCACAACTCCGATTGAGGGATATTCAGGAGAAGTAATAATTGGCATGGGCTGGCGATGGGCCAGGGAGTGTGGGTGCAACCATTCCACCTTCCTGGCGTGTGCGCCCTGACTTCACGCCACAGATAGGGGGCGGGATTGGCACAGGGCTTTAGAAAGAGCACAAGATGAGGAGGCAGAAGATCTATATTTTAGTCTGGCTCTACCAGTGACTGGGGGTGAGACTTTAGACAGATCCCTTACTGTCTCCCAGCCTCTGTTTCCACATGGAGATTAGGACATTTGTTTCCCTCACTGTAATATTTTGAGGACCAAATGGGATTACATGTGTGCAAGCATTCTGCCAACTGTAAGAGGCAGCACTCTGCTCTGTTCAAGTGGAATTCAAACTCATCCTACAAGAGTGGGCAGAGTGAGGAGGGAGATATTTTACTCTTTCTGCGTATGAAAACCCTTAACCAGATCTTTTTATAGTTGGAAAAAGGAAAGAGACAGTGTGTAGGAAATTAAGACATTGTATAGGAAATCACTCCTTAGAAACATTGTATGGGTAAATTTGATCAGCGTTTCAGCAATGTTATATTTTGATTAATTGAGTTTTCTGAGAATCCAAGCTTTTATTGCCAGCGGTTTCTGCATGTCAGCCTTTGATGGCAATCTTTCTTTGGTATGTGAACATTTATGCAGTGTATATTTGTGTCTGGTGTAACATAGCAAGAGCTCCTTTGAAGTTTGAGGGGGCTCTGTGGTGTCCCAGTTTCACCACTGTGGGTCTTCATTTGCCCACACAGACTGGCAGGACGTTTGGTGAGCGAGGACTGGTCCAAGGACATCCTCAGAAGTAATG